TGTTACTAACTTAACAACTGCAGTGATTCACTTAACAACTGTGGCGAGAAAGGTTGTAAAATGGGATAAAATTCACTTAACCAATGTTTTGCTTAGCAACAGAAATGTTGGGCTCAATTGTGGTTGCAACTCGAGGACTACCTGTATACATGCAATGGCTAAATTTTTATTTCTGAAATAGTTACTCTCAAAGCAAATTTAATTGGATTTGCACAGCAAGGATTGCTTAAAACTGGGAATGATTCATTACTAGGTACCACCAGTTTGTTGTCTTTGGTGTTGGCTCTGGTTTAGCTTGCTTTAATTCAATATCAACAGCCTTTCAAAACACAACAATATTGATTATTAATTATCACAAGGTTTCTTCCGCCATTGCTGCTAGATATTTATTCAGTGTAAAGTTGAGCAGACGCTAATAAATGCAATGTGGCATTGCCTTTTTCTGCAAGACATGGATGATGATTATACTTGCTGTCCTGTTTCCAGTTTTCAGATTGCATACAGTATTTAAGTGGAATAACCATTAAATAATGCATGCAGAATATATTTATTAGAGATGAACACAGGCCACTTAAGCTCTTTAAGGAGTATGATACAGGCATGAAGAAACATGACTCACTCTGGAATGGACTTTTCTACCTGGATCTGGATGATTAAAATACTGAACTCAATTCTCTCATAATATGGAGTTATTTTTTTTTTTTTACAGAGCAGCCATTTTTGTTTTATATTAATTATATGAAATTTGTAGGCAAGCTGAAGTTTTAAGTAATGATCAACCCTGCCTAATTTCCCTGCAGCACAAGAACCACATAAAGCCTTCAACCTACCTACCTACCTCTATTAGTGACATGGATATGCTGGTACCTGAACAACCTTGGTGGCGTAGCAGACTAAAGTGCTGTTAAGTAGCACCAGCTGCCTGCAATTACTGCAAGTTCAAATCTCACCAGGCTCAAATCTGCAATTACTGCAAGTTCAAATCTCACCAGGCTCAAAGTTGACTCAGCCTTTCATCCTTTAAAGGTAGGTAAAATGAGAACCAGATTGTGGGGGCAATAAGCTGTATAAAAAAGAACACCGCTTAGGGGGGGCCCGAAAGCCCTACTAAGCAGGTATATACAAAAGTATGAAGGTTATTGCTTAACGCATTGTAAGCCGCCCTGAGTCTCCGGAGAAGGGTGGCATATAAATCGAACCAACCAATAAACCTGCTATTTATATAACAGCTGGGAAGCAGGATAGTTTAGTCAATAGCAATTTTGTGGATGAAGGCATTTCTCCCAGTTATGTTGGTACCTGTGTTTGTAGTGACAAGACAGGCATACACTCCAGACATTTAATTACATCATGTATAACAATTCCTCTGGAACTAATTTAGCATCTTCGCAGTGGCTGCTTGATGCAGAGAACATCCAAGTGGCTGCTTGATGTAGATAATGCACATCTGCAATATGATGTATATTTGCAATGGGTCCATCAAAAGAATTGATGTATGTGAAATAATGATGCCACCATGCTGAATAATGGGTTGTCCAATTTCAGCTAAGTAGCATATGCAAGTGGCAATCTGTATTAAACTTGAAAATCATCATCATCATCTGATGGACTAGTGGCCATGAAACTAGGTCAACTTTCTATTGCAAACACTTTCAATAACTGTGCAGGGGGGGGGGGGGCAGAGGGGGAAAAGATGCTACACTTTCCAAGAGTTTTTCAAAATCCTTCAGTTTTATGGACAAAGAAATTGGGTATATGATTTTCTGAATTTTTCCAGAGAAAGAGAATTTTTTCAACAACTTGGTCAGGCAGGATCTTTCTTAACAGTAACAACGTCCCAGAGGTTCGAATTCCCTCTTGATACCTTACTTTCCAAATTAATTGAAGGCCAGGAAGCCAGGGCGACTGAAGACAACCAGAAAAAGTCTTGCAATTCAAACACATGGTGTTTATCTTCTGGGAAAGAAAAGTCTCTTTCATCCAATGGAAGAAGAACCAGTAAAAGAAAATAGTGGAGAAATGTCAATGCCCAGCAATTGTGCATTATATTTGGCCATGTTTGTGTGGGCATGAAAGGGAGGAGTGATTGTTCATGCTGTCTCTGCTGTGCCTTACTGATTTTTTTCCCCCTGCCTCTTTTGCTAGCAATACAGACCATCACAGCCTCTGTGAATGCACCACCAAACTGCTAATGCTGTACTGTCCCGTTTTCTCCCTCTTGCTTGGGTGCTTTTTGCAATGAGCGCTGCTGAAGCACTGCCACTTCAAAATGACCCCAGACCATGCTGCTTCTCGCTTTCTACTTCTCTGCAGTCACTCTGGAATCACTGCCTGGAATTGGGAATGGTCTTAGCCACTTTCACTAGTCAGCTAGCTTCTGCAGAAGCTTAGTCTTCTCTTTCATGCATGCTGTGGCTCATTGTCTCCCCCTCCACCGTCACACTTTAGCAGGGTTTGTGCAGCTTTCAAGAAGAATCCCATTCTTCCGCCACTAAGTCTACCTCATTAGTATCAGCCTCTTGAAGCTCAGATGGTACTGAAAGAAGAAGCTGCCTTCTTCTTTCTCTAGCAGCTCTGAAATTGACACTACCAATTATTATATACCAGTTATATATATTAATATACCAATTACTTCTGTGACTACACCAAATATGCTGCGGTACGATTACTATCCTGCCATGGCTCGCCTCCTTATTTTCTCTGGCTTAATTAAAGACTTTTTAGCGCTACTAAATAATTACATTTAAGGGGATAAAAGAAGATTGAATTTATTTCTAAAAGATTATACTTTATTTATTTACATTTATTGGCCACCTAACCCAAATGGACTCTGGGTGGCAAAGAGGGAGGGGGGGGCGATATTGGAAAATATGTTGGACAGATTAGTTGGACAGATCATTTGCTTTGTACCATGATGGTAAGTTTATAGTGGATTTACGATGTCATGGCAATACTATTACAATGTAGATTTTCTACCACAACATATTTATAGGTAGAACACCTCACTGAAAGAGGCCAAAGCTTAGTCAGAGTTTTGGAGGTTCAAGGCTTAATCAAACTCCTGTGCTGACTCAAGGGTTATTCTTGGCTCTGATCTACCCATAATGTAACACTAATGATAGACACAGAAGTAAAGTCATATCACAATTAATTATTGAATTCCACAATACTTCCAATCCCCAACTATATTACAGAATTACATTTTTGACTAATTCAAGAATCAATATAAGACAATATTGATTCATAGGAAAGCTTGATATTTATTTTTAAACAAACTGATCTGAGTCAGGCTTTTTGACTAATAAATAGGTCAGAACACAGACATTCTTTGAAATTTTCCTCTATTGGAACTTTGCAAAATTGTTCATGGTACTAGAATTATATAAAATATGCATTTCACAGAAAAATACAAAACTTCATGAAAACATGAATATTTTCTCTAAAAATGAAGGATTAATGAAGAAATTGGAAAGGACAACGATGAGTTAACTCATATGAAACTGAGGACGACTAGTGGGTTACTGGAATTAGATACAGCTGTCCATTCTACCATAAAACTCTGAAAGGGAACACAGATTTTTCACTTTAAGATCTTCTCCAATCTGGTGTCTTCCAAGTACCGGTATGTTGAAATTACAGTTACAAGCATTTCCTAATGCAATCAGCCTCAACAGTTCAACCTTCAAAAAGGAAGACCATCAATTATAGTATAAAATCATGACAGTTTCCATATCCAAGGTGATTCAGTGTGTGCTAGGGCTCCAGGTGTTCCTTTTGGAAATGATTGGTAGACGTTCTGTTTTATCATCTCAGAAATCTTCATGACAAGGCACACAATTGGAAGACAGAAAGAGGTGTTTCATCATAGTAACCCACTAGACCAAAGCCTTACAAGATGAAGAACGAAATCCCAAACTCCAAAAAATACTGATAGTAGGATAAATTAAATAGTATGGCTACCATGATATGAAATATACTTGGTTAACTAATTAGAATGTAAGCTGAGAAACTAGCCAGACATTGTTCATGATTGAAGTAAGAAAATAGGGTTAGGTAGAAAGACAGAAAAAAACAAAGACTTTGGGGATAAAATAGAATCCACTACTTAATTAGATGAGATCACTTGCAGGAGGATTTGGCACTGTAGCATCATGTACTTCAAGATGAGACTCTATTAGTCTTCTTCTCAACCAGTAAAATAATGGGCAAGGGAAGAGGATCATGACTGCAAGGACATGGCTGTACAAAATTTCTGGAGAAAAAATGACATTCGTGGTTCTTGGAGGGGTGGGCTGTTCATTAAACTTCTACCAAATTTAAAGGACACATTTTCTTTCTTAAACTCCCATTATTCCAAATAAGCAAATTTGACATCTGTGAAAGTAGATGGCCCACTCAGGCTCTACCTTTTAATTTCCACATCCAGATATGACATATGCTGTGTGTACATGGTAACCCACTACCCACCAACCCGTTATTGAGATGTGTAAGCTTTGACAAAGAAGTAGGGTATGTTCCTATTGAAGTGAAATTATTTATTATATATGAGAAGAGATGTGGAGGGGTTCTGTAACAACTTTGTTTCAGTGGGAGCTGCCAGAGTAGGTTAGAAAATAGGCAGCTATATTGCGAGCCGAGCCTTCTTCAATCTGATTTGGAACACTTGGGAAAGCTTAGAGACTCAGGGAGGAGGAACAATAAAACAAATAAGTAAATGATAAACATATTAAGCCTGGTGAACTCTTCATGAAATTGTTTTGCATATTATTAATAAACAAACCTTATGCCCAAAACAAGCCCAACTCCAAACTGAAACATTGTGGCAACGAGAATCAGATAGCCAAATGTTGGTGATATGACCTGAGTGTAACCTGGGGATTATCAAATATTCTACAAATTATGAGTTGCCAAACAATTTTATTACATATAGGTATAATTGCCAAAAAGTACAGATTTTGATTCCTATAACTAAATAACAGAAAATTTCTTGTTCTACTTACTGTTTAGAGATAGAAGAAATCTCCTTCATTTCAGTTAGCAGTTGAGTCTCTTCAAATATTGAATCAAATAAATCTGTCAAATACCAAATGGTGGAATTTAAAATAATTTCTCACTAGAACACTTCACTGGTTTCTGCATTCAAGGCACATCAGGAATGCTTTCCAGGTAGCACTGAAAGCTAAACCCAGTGCTTTAATCTTCAAAGTACTTCACATATTACAGTTGTTGCTATAAACTTCTTTCCTCTACATTTCATATTTTTATTTTATTGTAATTTTGCTAGCTTTTTTCTTTTTCTACTTTACTTGTGCTTTTATATCACTTCAAGACTTATCAAAGGAATACTGCATGAAGTATGTCCATTAAAAAATTCGTTATGTAGGAAAAGCAACCAGAATCAATATTACTTTCATGTTTTCTGATCAGAAGTCTGCAAGCAAGAAAAAGCAACATGAAAATCAACATAAGCCAAATTAGAAGTAATGTTAAACACATTTTTGCACTTACCGTAATGGCCTTGGGTGTTTTCTCCCAAATGCAGCATACAATATGTTAATTATGGAGACTGTACCAAATTAGCAGGGAGAGGAAGACTCTGCAGCAGCCTTTATAAAAAGGCCCTCTTCTGAAGCTGCTATTTGCAATGAGAGAAAACTTTCTGCACTTGTACCAAAGAAGCATTTTCCTGCCAATGAAAATTGCAGCTTTTTCATCAGGACTAGAATAAGCAGAGAAAATTCCTGTTCAGCACCTGCTTCAAGCCTTTATAGTCTTTTTAATTGGGCATGAAACTTTGAAAAGGACAAACTTGAGATGTAACTTCCCCCAAAATGGGGAAAGTATGAAATGGCACTGATTATGCATTCTGGCTGAAGACTGAACCCATGCAATATAGAAAGGACATACTCTGCAGATAGCTGCTTATCAACTGGTTATTCAATATTCCACCACTACCACACTTCAACCTGCTGCATTTCTATTTGTATTTAATTCACCTCCACTCCACTTTTGCCAGGAGCCTAAATTCTGATTTAAGGGAAGCATTTGCAGTTTGTTTGGGAAACCTCTATGAAATATGTTAAGTGTGTAAACATGTATGTACACATTTATGCACACAAACGTTCAAGATTATCTTGATATCTCCTGTTGCTCTGAGGAGGATACATATATACTATAACAAACCCAAGTTGATATGCTCAAACAACAGCTTCAGCCAAATACATATCTCTCACAATACACCTTTCCAGTCATTTGACATATTCATACTTTGCATATACTATATTTTAATTTGTGTAACATTCAAACATATGAAAACTGATAATTCCTGGCTAGCTACAGGTTTGTTCGTGCTGTACAGAAATAACAAAGTAAAAATGACCCTTTTAATTCCCACTACAAAGAGGTCTTGCAGAGTAAGAGAAGAAGCTAATGGAGATGTAGATGATCCCCAAATCTATGTCTGATGCTTTGTAAGAGATTTCTAATGCTCTTTTGAAGGGTACAATGCTGGAGAATGCTAGAGACTTAATCTGCTGATCATCTGAATTTAGTTCACAGTATATCTCACCTTTTTGTAATTCCCTGAAAGAAAACTCAATAAACTCATTTTCCTCTAAAAATACCTCAAATTGCAGAATTGCAGTATGTGATTTCAGATTATCTTGATTGGAATCAGATTGTCTTCTTCTATATATGTGGTTTTTGCCTACATTTCACCTGAGTGATAGTGACTTCTCTGATACTTTGTTCTAGGCACTTTTATTGCAAACATGACTGGAGGAAATGATACATTGCTAAAACCATTTTAGATTCTAGAAGCAGATGAGAAACAGATGGAAGGACCCTGAAGTTCCCTATGCTTCCTACTCATTTTTCCCTGTGACAAGGATTTTTCAAAATGAGCTGGAATTGCATATTGTCATTATTCATGCCAGGCAGGATCCAAATTATCTGGATTAAAATAATCTACCATGCAATGAAGCTATATTCAAATGAGTTTGGATTTTATTTAACACTGGTACATTCAAGTTGAACCTGCCGAACTTCAAAGAAAAGGTTCAAAACATTGGGGTTCTGTCCATTAAAACTGGAGGGGGAAAGATTACATTTATTAGATGTTACCATGCCAGGGCTGCAGAGGAATTCAAAACAACCATTGTCCAAAGCAGCTCTTATGTTTTTTCTGAGACTTTTATGTCAAATCTATAACGAACTTTCCATTCCATTGGTACTGTATGCTTTGCTTACTAAGAGGGTTTGCATCAGAAACTATCTTTAATGTCATAACTCAGTTCTGTAAATGCTTCAGGGCAAATCTAAGAGTTTTTTGCAAACCAAAGTACAACTCATGCTAGTCCCGGATCATCCTAATGATGACAATAGATTTTTGAATAGCCCAGTAGGACGTTACACAGAACTCTCCTTTTGGGGAATTAAATCCCCATTTCACTTGCTTGATATTTTCCTGATTTTTCATTTCTGGTAGAGTTGCTTGAGAATAGCAAGAGAAATGAAATTCTTATCTTTATCTAATTTATCCACCAGCCAAAAAAAAAAAAAACAACAACAACTAAAGGAGAAGGATGTTTCCTACATAAAATCAGCCATAACAAGGACAAAGGGATTGAGGAGACTAAGAATATATATCCTTCTACTTAATATTTAACTAGCACCCCATCACATCGCACTGCTTCCAAACTTGAGCTAGAGCTATCTTGCCATCTTATAATTAGTCATTTTTACGGCATCTTGAAAAATGGTTCTCCCCCTACTCACTACAGCTGCTAGTTGTAATCTCTTTTGTTCACTCAAACAAAAGGAGGTTAGCTTGAAAATTAGAAAAGGGAGTCCTTTTGAATTTCTCTACTCCTGCTTTGCTCTTTCTCCCACAGGCAAGTGGGATCAGCAAAGTGTACCATCGCATCCCACATACGCATTTCCTCATTAATTAAGCCCAGGTGATTTTGCCCCAGAGGATGGATGGGTTAAGAGAATGGTTTAGTCTCCAGGATTCTTTCACTGGAATAGTAGAGACACATAATAGGGAAAAATACAGGGGAGGTAGGGGAAAGAATTGTAATGGGTTTTTCCCCCAAAAAAATTTTTGCTGGAAAGATATAAATAATTCATACTTGAGGATGGAATAAAAGGGAACCTGAGATTTGGTTATTTCTATTTACTAATAACCAAATCTATTTGGCGCTTGCTGTTTAAAGAGTTGATCGTGTCCAGGCATCTGTCCCATCTTAACCAAAAAAAAAAAACAAAAAACCCTGAAAAGTGGCCAGTGTTCGTTGATCAGTTTTAAATATTGTGAGGGGAGAGAGGGAGGGAGAAAAGGAGAGAAGGAGGGAGAGAGAGAGGGAGGGAGGGAGAGAGAGAGAGAGAGAGACCCACAAGCCCATTTCTGCCCCCCCCCCAATGTACCATCAGTGATAGAAGATTCAAGCTGTATGTCCTCCTTACCTGAGGGAAATCAATGCAGTCGGTTTGCTTCTGAAGCCAGTCTTGAAGATCTTCGAGAACCTCCGAGCAAGTGCCGGCGGAGGATCAGCCAGCGTATCAAAGCAGCGGCGTCTCCCGCAGACGAAAGGCGGCTGGTCCAAGCTTCCCGGCTACAGGTTCACGAGTGCGGCTGCTGCACGTGCCCGCGGCGGCGGCGGCAGCAGCAGCCACTTTCCAGCGATTCGGCTCTTGGACGGTGTTTTTTTTTTCTCTCTCTCTCTCTCCTCTCTCACTCTCTCTCTCTTCCCGACTGGAGCGAAGCCGGTGAGCTGGAGGCTGCCGGTGGAGGGAGGCGAAGTGGTTTCTTTTAAGGCCGCCCTGCCCTCGGAAAAGCGCAACGCTTTTGGCGGAGGACGCCGCAACTCGCCGAGCCACCTTAAGAGGGGGAAAAGCGGGCTAAAAAGCGAGGAAGGCAACTTGAGCAAAAGAAGAAGAAAGGGGGGGGGGGAAGAGAGAAGGGACGCGACGACGAAAGCAACAGCAAGAGCCCAACCTGATTAGACGCCTTTATTTTTGTTTCTGGTGCAGATCATTTAGTGAAGCGAAAGCCTCTTCACTCTTTTCCCCTCCCGGCCTTGACCCCCCTCCCCTCCCGGCACCTTTTATTCTCGACGGGCGCCAAACTAAAAACTCCTACACGGTTTCAGTCCCCGCCCCTCCGCCCCTTCCTTGGGTCTTCGGTTCGCTCGAGCATTAACCCGGGAGACAACATTGAGAAGCCACACGGGATGAAGTGTTGGTAAAATAGGAGGTAAAGTGAAATTTGGATAGAAGAGTGAAATAATACGGGGTCAGCCTGGAGGATCTCTGAAGGACCCATTGACTAATTACTATAAAAGACAGTTGCTGGGTTCAAAAAGTTAAACGGCAGAGTTAGCCCACTTTCTACAGTTGCAGAGTTCAAGAAGTCAAACCGCAGAGGTACCACGTTAAAATGCAGAATTAAACCACATGGAGCTTTCCTGGCTAAGGAATAAGGGAGTGGGCTATCTAAAGAGGCAGATTACACGTTGCCTGTTTTGTTACTAACTGAAAAGTATAAAGATGCGTGTCTTAAACAAGGTCTTTGTTCAGAATGTAAATAGAATGCATGTCTGAACCTTTTGGCCAAAATAAAAAGATTTTTCTGATCTTGAAATTCATCTGGTTTATTTTTCTGCAACATTGGTGCAAGAAACAGCCCGTGGTTGGCCCGGGGAATGCGTAGAGTCTATTTATTTATTGGTGAGTGGGTTGGTTGGTTAAATGTACTTGGTGCCATCTCGCCGTCGGGGCTACTATTCTGGACGGCTTAACGAACTTCCTAACTTCTCCAGATGTGCTGGACAGCGAGTCACAGTAAAGGCCACACACCTAAAGGCCACTAGGATGGAAATGCTGAGAGCTACTGTCCAACATTTGAGAGCATCTTCTGTAGATGGGGGGAAAGCTGCGGAAAAGGTTATACAAGAAGGGCAGAATGGAGATGCTAATCTTCTCATTGTTCCCACCACCCATCTCCTTCCACTTATGACTCTATGACTGTAACTTTGTTGCTTGTATCCTTACGATTTACATTGGTATTGTTCCTGATTGCTTATTTGTACCCTATGACTATCATTAAGTGTTGTACCTTATGATTCTTGATGAACGTATCTTTTTATGTACAGAGAGAGCATATGCACCAAGACAAATTCCTTGTGTGTCCAATCACACTTGGCCAATAAAAAATTATTCTATTCTATTCTATTCTATTCTATTCTATTCTATTCTATTCTATTCTATTCTATTCTATTCTACTCTACTCTACTCTACTCTACTCTACTCTACTCTACTCTACTCTACTCTACTCTATTCTATTCTATTCTATTCTATTCTATTCTATTCCAAAGGGGAGGGAGGGGGGAATTTAGAAGAAATTAGAAGGAAGCCAAGTGGATTGGCTGGGGAGATAAAGCTAGATAATGTGATCAGCGCATATATTGCTCAGTTATAAACCACAGCATAGACATTGATAAGGGATGCCTCTTAATGAATTTCAGCAACATCTACCTACCTTTTTGTACAATACAGCAGCAGTCCTAATGAGGGCTTCTATTACATCTATTAATGAATTGGGTTAATCAGTCCAAAAGCTTATTACTGGATTTATATCAATGTGTGGCAAAACTCCTATGAGAAAGAGTGTTTCCTTCCAGCAAGAGAAATGTCTTTTGCGAGATAGTGCCCGCCCCCTGAGATTTGAGAGATTACAAATCCTGAACATTTTTTTTTTAAAAAGGTAGCAATTCCCTATCACTGCCTCTTACACTCATGCAAACAAATTGCAAACTTCCCTTTGTAACCATGACACCTGAAGCTCCCTTTTGTGAGTTTTCAAGCATAATACAAAACTAAGTCTTTTGTTTCTTTCATGTTTTATTACTGTCTTAATACGGTCATTAATCTTACAGAATAAAGGCATTTTAAGCTGGAGCAATTTGTAAATCCATAATCATATAGGATTTGAACTGATTCCTGGTGTTGATCACAGCTAGGTTTTCTGCATTATGGGAAATTCTTGGTTAGTATTGTTGGACACAGGGAAAACTAGCAGTTCTGATATGAACAGAGTACATTACACAGGAGGGAATGCCTTTCTAGTTAAAGAAGTATTAAGCGTGCTTGATTAAAACTGAATACATTTACATATGAATAAATAATTCTCCGTTGAAAGAAGAGGAACTTGGCACCATGATATTTAAGTATTATTCTGAAACCAGGATTTTGAATAGCATAATTGCTCAGTCGCAGAAAGGGAGTTTGCCCACACTCCCTGCATCATTCCATTTGACGATGTTCTTAAACTGCCTTTTATGCTGCTCTGTTAATTTCCAAGTGACAGGATTGTTCCCTTGGAATGGTAAATATGCTTTTAAAAAAGAAACTGAAGTAGAAAAATTTTAATACCTCAATTATGCTTCCTTTTAATCAGCCAAAGCATTGATCTAAATAACTATCAGTTAACAGTGCAATCTAGCAAAATAAGGCTTCTCTTGTTTTACTCACCGTTTTTACTTTATCCACAAGAGACAACCCAAAAGCGTTCTAACAAAGAAATCATAGTCAAAGTCAAGTTTATTTTCCATTCTTCTTTTTATTAGCTCTTGATCTGCTCCTTTAGGGAACTGAGCTGAGACCAGGGTGGTGCTTATAGACCTCAATCAGTTCCAAAACATCTTCTTTGGTATCCATCTTTATTTCATCTAGGCATTCAACATAAAAGACATGCCACATAGCAAAAGATCAGCTTCTGGCGTTTTCTTTTTTTCTCTCAAAAGTGCCTTGAGCAGTGTAGATCCTCTTAGACAATAAAAATAGTTCATACGACTGAAGTCTTCTTGTTCAAAAAGGAAAAATGTGGGAGGCTTCAAAATACATTATCAAAATTTCAAATATGCCCGTTGGCTCAAAAAGGTTGAGATCCCTGCAACAGAAGTCTGGAGGATGCATTAAAAACACGCCAAGAATACGCTAGGAAACTACAAACAAACAAAAAATAGCAAGGTGCATTTTCAAATAGTGATGTATAATCTGAATACAAATCCAATTTATTCATTGACTCTTCTACACATTCCACTCATTCAAAATCAAACAAACCATATTGTAGCTACAGTGAACTCTGCCAACATATTGCAGAGCTCAGGTTAGTTTCTGATACTTTGAATTCAATTACTTGATTACTTTGAATTTTTGAACAACTACATTTTCTCGACTGATCACAGCCTAATACTTTCTGGTACTGGTCTTTTAAAAGTAAACTCTCCCTCAAGCTGAACAGAGTACCTGCTGATTTCATGCTGTTTTCCTGGAAATGGTACAGATCATTGTTGTTTTTTTCCCCCTTCAATCTAGCCTGTACCCATATTGTTTATGGATGTTCTAACTTTGTCCAACCCGATTTAGATTTATCATCAAGGTTATCTAGGTGCTTCAATTTGGGCAATTCCTTTAAAAGCTAGAGCTTTTATCTACTAGTATTTCCTTGGATATATTCTTTTTTTAATGCAGCTAAGAGAGGCTGTTGGTGATCTTTCTCTTTTGAAGTAAGATGCCTGGTTTTTCTTCACTGACTTCTTTTGGACTGATTGGGAAAATCACGTAGAGAGAATAGCTCTTCAGAAAATGAGAGGGGCACATTTTCCTGACACCCTCAGCCATTGTATTTTAGTCCCAGCTGTGTGGTATAATGAAAGGCAGAGTCTTGTCTCTAACCTCTAGCCTTACTTTGCTGGCTTCTAGCAGAGCAGTATAACTAACACTGCAATATACACTTGCCAGATTCAATTGCCCTAGGGAGAAAAGTCTAACTGAGTATATATATATATATATATGACGTAGACATCAATTGCCAGAAAGACTCAAAGCAGCTCGACAGTGGTATTCTAATGCTTCCAATATATCAGCGCTGCCTCTCTGAGAACCATCTGCTCCTGCTGTCTTTAGCCAAGCAAAGCAAAGGCTGGGGATAGTGTGTGAGTCTATGATCTATTGCTCCCATCCCATCCCATTAAGGTGTTAGATCATATGAGATAATTTTTTCAAAAGCAGCTGCATTTTTGGTTGACCATCGTAAAAGAGAAAAGAACTGCATTTGAGTTATGCCTGCTAGATTTTCTTTTCCTTGAACAAAGACTGATATTGTAACAATTCTTCATACAAAAAAGTGGCTGCTTTCACAATATCAGTACCTTCAAGGTGAACATTTGAAACCTTGCTTCAAAACTTGTTGGTTTTTCTCCTTCACTCTCATCTTTCCCCATCGACTTATGAAACAGTGCCTTTGGAAATACAAACACGATGTTTAGATTCTCTTCTTCAAGGCATCCAATAAATCACGGATAAGAAAAGATTTTGAGAATAATTTGCGATGACGGTAGGAATGGCCAAAGCTCTTGTGAGTTGGGACAGAGTTATAAATGAGTTGAACTGTGAATAAAAAATGAGCATAGAACTTTTCTGCCCAACTTTTTTCAGGCTACTTTGTGAACTTAAAAAAAAAAAGCTGCAGTTATGGAAATTTATTAAAGCAGTAGCATTTTTATTCCAACCTTGGTGAAGAATCTTGAAAGAGGACAGGTCATATTTACTAAACTAATATCTTACAGAAGAATTTAAAATTAGACCCAAGACCATGGATTTCTTGACCCTATTTTGAACATTTATATTCAGGGCATTAAAAAAAATGTTTGCACCTGAAGATATAGCTAATGCCAATTTTCCAATCATTTCAAAGTAATTCAGATTTCTACAAGTGGAAAAATTAATAATATTAAGAATTACCCAAATATTGGCTAATTACTATCAAGTATTCTAAAGCTCTTTTCTAACTCCACCCCCCCACCCCAATAATGTATAACATCACTTTACAGACTTATATTAATGGAAGAATAATTTGGTAATGGTTTTTGTAGTTTTAGTTGGACTAGATTATGGCTTTTAAATTGTTGATTGTGCTTGTTTTGTTTGTAAAATATTTAAATCTGTGTCACTGCGTTATTTTATTTACCAGCTGAGCTCATTATTTCTGGACTGTCAGACTCTCCGTAGCTTTGCCAACTTCTTATCAGTAAGCTACGTGTTTCCGTATCCACCCACATTCCTTCACTTGCTCTTCACACACTCCTTCCTTTGTTCTCTTTCCAGCAAGGTCCGGCTGAAAGATAGCCGACCCGAATTACTTTCAAAAATGTAACAATTAACTTTTCTTAGTTAGTGAGGTGTTTTATTTTCTTTATAACAAATAAATGAGTTTTATTAGAAACCTTCCTTCGCGTTTCTTTTCAGAATATTGTAAACAAGGATAAGCCTCGATTCATCTCCTCCTCTAAACCAGGGTAATTAGTCCCAGAGCCAAACATGGGATTAATAAATGCCCTGACAATCTGTCTATCTATCTATCTATCTATCTATCTATCTATCTATCTATCTATCTATCTATCTATCACGGTATTTATTTATTATAAACAAGTCAATGCAAATATACCTAATACTCTTTCCTCCTCCTATTTTTCCCTACAGCAAAGCTGTGAGATGATTTGGGTTGAGAGAGAGTGACTGGCCCCAAGTCACCCAGCTGGCTTTCAAGCCTAAAGTGGGACTAGAACTAAGTTTTCTGGTTTATAGCCTGGTGCCTTTAACCATTACACTAAACTGTCTTTCTATGTCATTTAAAGTATATGAATATAATAAAGTCTTTAAAATTCTTTTAGTCTACTATCACTGTCAGGTTTTAGATTTATTTCACTTTTTGCAGATTTTAAAAGTCTGCAGTGTTGTCAAACATCAGGCTATAATGAAATTTATAAAAGTGGAATAAAGGCTGGGGGGAAAAACATACTATAAATGAACAACGAAAAAAAAGGCCAAGATTCTGAAAAATCTCTGGCACTACTTCAGAAGCAGATCAATCACCACTCCTAGTACAGAGTAGCTTTTTATGTCCATATAATTCTGCTGGAATTGATACAACTTTCTATGACCTTTAATTTGAAAAGTTCCACTCAAAAGTCAAATGTTGTAGGATAGACCTCTAGTAGCACACAGCTTGCTGCACTTAATCCAGAAACAATAAATTGCAACAGGTAACTCCAGCTGGTCTATCTAGGTAAATCTAGTTAGTATATAAAGCATGAAAGTACAGTACAGGTAGTCCTCAACTTACAACAGTTCATGTGCCCACCAGGTTTTCGTGCATTCCATCGGCCGAGGTTACAGGGTAGGGGCGGGGGGGGGGGTATCGGTTATCATTAAAGATGGTCTGAGACTGAGGGAGGCCACTGTTCCTCAGACAGCCGGCTGTGAATCCCTCCTTGTGGGATGGGGTCACGGGGTTCAGATGGGTTTGCGGATCATGTACCTGGCTCCCTGCCCAAGCTACTCAACATCATCGCCGCGGTGGCGGTTGATGCCCCTAGTCTTATGGTCATGGTTTAACCTGCCGTCTGTGGGTGAGGCGTCTGAGGTGGCTCAGGAGTTCATGGCTTCCATGACAGCTATGGACGTGACCCAGTTAATTTATGACCCTACCCACATGGGGGGAAACATGCTGGATCTGGTTTTTGTCTCTGGACAGTGGTTGAGTGACCTTGAGATAGGGGATATAGTTACCAAGCCCTTGTCATGGTCAGATCACTCTCTCCTTCGTCTCGACCTTCGAACCACTGCACCCTGCCGCAGGGAGGCGGAGCCGGTAAGATGGCTCTGCCCCAGGCGCCTGATGGAACCTGATAAGTTCCAGATGGAGCTTGGGCCATTCCCTGAGGCTCTGGCACACGCCTCAACTGGAGACCTAGTAGCCGCCTGGGATAGGGCGGCTGCTGGAGCTCTGGATCGGGTTGTGCCTTTGCGGCCTCTGACCCGGTGCCGATCTCATTTGGCTCCGTGGTTCACTGAAGAGCTGAGGGAGTTGAAGCGCTGGAAGAGATGCCTAGAGAGTAGTTAGAGGGCCAGTCTTTCTGAATCAGACCGGACACTGGTAAGATCTCATATTAGGAATTACCTAGTGGCGATAAAAGCAGCGAAATGTAGCTACTGCTCTTATTGCGTCATCAGATAACCGCCCAGCCGCCCTGTTTAGGGTGACCCGCTCCCTGCTCCACCAGGAAGTGCAGGAGGACCCCTTGGAGGGTAGAACCGAGGATTTTGTTCAGTATCTGCATGACAAAATCACTCAGATTCAGGAAGATTTGGACTCTGATTGGGTAATCTCAGGGGGAGGGACTGGGGCAGGTCCTGAGAATGTTATCTGGGATGAGTTTGATCCTGTGACCCCTGAGGATGTGGACAGGATTCTGGGCAGACTGAACTGAACCACTTGTTTGTTGGACCCGTGTCCCTCCTGGTTGGTGCTGGCTTCCCGGGAGGTGACACGAGGCTGGCTCCAGGGGATTATAAATGCTTCGTTGGGTGAGGGTGACTTTCCCGCTGCCTTGAAAGAAGCGGTCGTGAGGCCTCTCCTCAAGAAGCCTTCCCTGGACCCGGCAATGTTGGTTAATTATCGTCCAGTCTCCAACCTTCGCTTCGTGACGAAGGTTGTTGAGAGCATGGTTGCACAACAGTTCCCCCAGCACCTGGATGAAACGACGTATCTGGATCCGTTCCAGTCGGGCTTCAGGCCCGGGTATAGCATGGAAACGGCATTGGTCGCATTGGTAGATGATTTCTGAAGGGGTCGGGACAGTGGGTGTTCCTCTGTCCTGGTCCTGTTAGATCTCTCAGCGGCTTTTGATACCATTAACCATGGTATCATGCTGCACTGGTTGGAAGAGTTAGGGGTGGGAGGCACTGTGTTACGGTGGTTCTCCTCCTTTCTCTCCGACCGGTCATAGTCTGTGTTGACAGGGGGGCAGAGGTCGACCCCGAGGCCCCTCATATGTGGGGTGTCGCAAGGGTCGGTCCTCTCGCCCCTCCTGTTCAACATTTATGTGAAGCCGCTGGGCGAGATCATCTGTGGTTTCAAGGTGAAGTACCAACAGTACGCTGATGACACCCAGCTGTACATCTCCACCCCGGACCACCCCAACGATGCCCTTGAAGTGATGTCCTGGTGCCTGGAGGCCGTGTGGATCTGGATGGGGAGGAATAGGCTCAGGCTCAACCCATCCAAGACCGAGTGGCTGTGGTTTCCGACATCCCGATATAGTCAGTTGGTACCATCACTGACTATTGGGGGAGAATCATTGGCCCCCATGGAGAAGGTTCGCAACTTGGGCGTCCTCGTGGATTCACGGCTGTCTTTAGAAGAGCACTTGACGGCCGTGACCGGGAGGATTTTTCATCAGGTTCGCCTGATTCGCCAGTTGCGTCCCTTTCTGGATTGGGACTCCCTACCCACCATCACTCATGCCCTCGCCACCTCCCACCTCCCGTTACTATTGTAATGCTCTCTACATGGGGCTCCCCTTGAGGAGCACCCGGAGGCTCCAACTGGGGCAGAGTGTGGCCGCGCGGGTGGTAATGGGAGCGACATGGCGTTTCCATGTAACACCTCTCCTGCGCGAGCTGCACTGGCTCCCGGTGGTCTTCCGGGTGCGCTTCAAGGTTTTGGTTACCACCTTTAGAGCGCTCCATGGCTTAGGACCTGGTTATTTACGGGACCGCCTACTACCACCAATAGCCTCCCACCGGCTGGTACGCTCTCATAGAGAGGGGCTCCTCCGGGTGCCATCGACCAAACAATATCGACTGGCAGCCCCTAGGGGGAGAGCCTTCTCTGTGGGGGCACCTACTATCTGGAATGAGCTCCCCCTGGAGATACGGAGGATTCCGGATCTGCGCATCTTCCGCTGCGCTCTTAAGACCTTTTTATTCCATCAGGCGGGCCTGGCTAATCTTTTCCCTCTTTTTAATTATGTAAATTTTAATTGGTTTTTAAATGATTGGGGTTTTAATACGTTGGGCCAAATTTGTTTAATTCGATTTTACTTTGTTTTTAAATTTTGTATCTATGTATTTTTACTGTTTGGCTGTTCACCGCCCTGAGTCCTTCGGGAGTAGGGCGGTATATAAATTAAATTAAATTAAATTAATTAATTAAACAAACAAACAAACAAACAAACAAACAAACAAATAAATAAATAAATAAATCTGGTGACCATTCAAAGTTACAACGGCACTATAAAAGTGACCTATGACCATTTTTCACATGACTTGCAGCAGCTCTATGGTCACATGATCAAAAATGCTTGACAACTGGTTCATATTTATGACTGTTGCAGTGTCCTGGGGTCATGTGTTAAGCTTTTGCAATCTCCTGACAAGCACAATCAATGGGGAAGCCAGATTCACTTAACAACTGTGTTAGTAACTTAACAATTGCAACAATTCACTTATCAATAGTCGCAAGAAAAGTCGTAAAATGGGGCAAAATTGCTTAACAAATATTTTACTTAGCAAC